TTCCGGGCGAGAAATTGCGGGCTGGGGGGTCCCAAGAACAAAGCTGCCGTGGATGGGGGCGTTGGGACGTGGTGGGAGCATGGGAGGGGCGTCGGCGGGTTCCGGGCGAGAAATTGCGGGTTGGAGATTCTCAGGAACAGAACTGCCGTGGATGAGGGTGTCGGGACGTGGTGGGAGGGTGGGGGGGGACGTCGGTGAATTCCGGGCGAGGAATTGCGAGTTCGGGATTCCAAGAACAGAGCTGCAGTGGATTGGGGTGGTCGGGACGTCGTGGGAGCGTGGGCGGGAGCGTCGCTGGGTTCCGTGCGAGAAATTGCCGGTTGGGGGGTCCCAAGAACAGAGCTGCCGTGGATGGGGGTGTCGGAACGTGGTGGGAGCGTGGGGGGGAGGCGTCGGTGGGTTCCGTGCGAGAAATTGCAAAAGGTTGGGGCGGTCACAAGAACAGAGCTTGTCCGTGGATGCGGTGTCGGGAACGTGGGGTGAGAGCGTGTTGAGTCTACGTCGGTGGAGTTCCGAGCGAGGAATTCGGGGTGGAGAGGTCCCAGGGGCGTGGGGGGGGGGCGTTGGTGGGTTCCGTGCGAGAAATTGCGGGTTGGGGGGTCCCAAGAACAGAGCTGCCGTGGATGGGGGTGTCGGGGCGTGGTGGGAGCGCGGGGAGTCGCGTCGGTGGGTTCCGGGTGAGAAATTGCGGGGTGGGGGGTCCCAAGAACGGAGCTGCCGTGGATGGGGGTGTCGGGACGTGGTGGGGGCGTGGGGGGGGGCGTTGGTGGGTTCCGGGCGAGAAATTGCGGGTTGGGGGATCCCAAGAACAGAGCGGCCGTGGATGGGGGTGTCGGGACGTGGTGGGAGCGTGGGGGGGGGCGTCGGTGGGTTCCGAGCGGGAAATTGCGGGTTGGGGTGTCCCAAGAACAGAGCTGCCGTGGATGCAGGTGTCGGGACGTGGTGAGAGCGTGGGGGCGGGCGTCGGTGGGTTTCGAGCGAGAAGTCAGGTGGGGTGGCCCAAAAACAGTGGTCCCAGGGCGGAGTGGGGGTGTCGGGCCAGGTCGACAGCGGGGCGGTTTGGGGCGAGAAATTGTCAGGTGATGTGGCCCAAAAACAGAGGTGTCAGGGCGGGGTGGAGGTGTCGGACCAGGTCGACGGCGGGGCGGTTTCGGGCGAGAAATTGACGGCGGGGGTGGCCCAAGAACAGAGGTCCCAGGGCGGGGTGGGGGGGTCGAACCAGGTCGACGGCGGGTCCAGGTGGAGGGCGTGGGTAGGTTCTGGACCAGGAATTGTCGTATCCAGGTCAGATTGATATCGCACACGCCTCTGGGGTCGGCGGATCTTTGGAGCAAGTGGGAGGGGATGTACCACACATCTCACACGCCGTGTCGCCTCTTGCCATCAGGGATTGGCGGACTTGCACGGGGGCCTGTATGCTGACATGGATGTTGAGGCCCGCGGGTCACCCTTCCCGCACCTCCCAGCCGGCATGGTGAGTGTCGTCGCGAGCCCGTACCCAGAGAACGAACAACACCAGAATTCGATGATGGCGTCGCCGCCGAGGCACGCCTTCTGGCGCGCCTTCGTCGAGGAGGCCGTGCGGCGGCGCAGCGACGCTGGGAGCTACCGGACGACGTGGCAGTTGACCGGGCCGCAGCTCCTCGACGCGGTGGTGCGGGCGCGGCCGCACGAGGTGCACGTGCTGCCGACCGCAGAATTCAACCCCGCCGTGCGCTCCCCGCTGTTTCACGCGACGGCCGTGGTGACGCGGCACTTTTGCACCAGCGTGTGGACGCACGACATGCGTAGAACAAAACGCGGCATGAACATAAACTTTCGGAGCTCCGCACGGATTTCTCGCATCGGCACGTGGACCACCCTTCCTGGCGCGCGGAGCGCGCCAGGGGCAGCGCTGGATGCGCCGCAAAGGGGGGCCCAGCGCCGATCCAAGAACTCTGCACGGAGCTCCGAAAGCTTCAGCTCGTGCCGATTTTTCTTCGAGATATGGACGCTGGCGGCATGCGGCTGTACCACGCGTCAAAGGCCGGGGACCTCGAGGAGATCCAGGCAGCGGCGGAGGCTGGGGCGGACCTCGAGGCGTGCGACCATGCCGGCCTCACTGCGATGCACCACGCCGCGATCCGTGGCGACGCCGCGGCGCTCTCGCTCGTCGCGTCGCTGGGAGGCGATGTGAACGCTCGGGACAAAAACGACAGCACCCCTCGAGGAAGAGCCAACGGCATACATCAGAGGAGAAGATGTACTGATACCGCTGCTCGTCCTGGAGCGCCCTCGTCGTCGTGGTTGAATTCTCCTGGCGATCCTAGTCATAAGGCACCTTCGGAGGGGTCCAGGGAGCAGCGGTATCGGCATCGTTTGATTTTTCAGTAAGCAGAAGGTCTTCACGTTTCGCGTATTACCAGAAGCCCATCCAGAGACGATACCCACGCGAGCTGCATGGATCAGGAAGCTGAATGAGGGAATGATGACGGGTCGGAAAGCGAGGAGGAGAAGGAGGAGGCAGAGGTCCAGGAGGAGGAGGAGGAAGAGGGAAGAGGAGGGAGGAGGAGGGAGGAGGGAGGAGGATGAAGAGGCAGAGGAGGAGGAGGAGGTGGAGGAGGATAGGGATGGAAGAGGGGGTGGAGATGAGGGGAGATGGATGATGAATGAGGAGGAGGAAGGAGGAGGAGGAGGAGGAGGGAAGAGGAGGAGGAGGAGAGATAGAGAGGAGGAGGAGGAGGAGGAGGAGAACAGGGAGGAGGAGGAGGAGGAGAGGAGGAGGAGGAGGAGGAGGAGAAGGAGGAGGAGGAGGAGGATGAGTAGGAGGAGGAGGAGGAAGAGGAGGAGGAGGACGGGGGAGGAGGAGGACGGGGGAGGAGGAGGAAGGAGGAGGAGGAGGAGGAGGAGGAGGAAAAGGAAAGGAGGAAAACTTGGACGAGGAGGAGACCCTCGCTGGTCTTCTCTTGTGAGAGCCTCTCGGAGGACTCCTGCGGCCATCTTGGGGTCCTCTTCGGCCCCTCATTGGGTCCTCTTGGGACTGTCTCGGGGCCCTCTGGGGGCCCTCGTGGCCTTCGGGACCTCTTGGGGCTCCCTGAAAGGGTCTCGGGGCCTTTTCATGGGGCGGTCTTGAGCCCCGCGGCTCGAAAAGGGAAGGGTTGTCAATTGACCCCCCCCCTCGGAAGCCGAAACGTTGTCTCTCGGGGGCCTCTTGGCGCGCTCTTTGGGGGCCACTCGGGGGCCTTTCGGGCCGTTTTACTACCCTGTTGGGCTCCCCGGGCTCTCTGGGGCCATCCTGGGACCTCATCGCCCCATCGGATGCGAAACGGCAAGATGGTACAAGTCACTGTTCCCTGATGTTTTGGAACGGTTTTCGTCTCTTGGGATGAACCGCGGGGGTTTCGAGAGCACTTAGAGCCCTAGAAAATCATGAACCATCTCCCGCTATCTTGAGCAATATTGGAGGCCATCTTAAGGCGTCGGGGGCCATCGTGGAGCCATCTTGGGCCCAAAAGGGCCGTCTGCCACCTCGCGCCCCCCCAAACTCCAGGGGAGGGGCAGGGGGAGGGGTGAAGCTATCCCCCAGCCGCAAACCGTCTCGCTCCATTGCACCTGCGCTCCCAACGCAGAAGTAGCACCCGAGTCTCATCATGCGCAGGCGCCTCCATCGACAACGATCGGGAGCCAATGCAGACGCCAGCCAGGTGAGCGACGCCCGCGAGATGCGCCGCGCGTGCCAAAGCACCCCCATCGTCCTTGTCAAAGAAAAGTTCAACATGATCGTGGGGCGCCCGCACATGATCCAATAGTTTACAGCAACGTGCATTTGGCATTGTTTTTGACGGGGATGGTGGGCCTGTGCGCACCAGGGAGTTCGTCACTCCCACCCGTCCCTGTCAAAGAGGAAATCAAGTAATCGTGGGGCGCCCGATCATGATCGAGATTTTGGTGCATAATGCATTAGGTTTGTTTTTTGACAGAGATGGTGGGGGAGGGGTGTGGGGCGTCATTGGCACGGGCTAGTGGCCAGTAGAGTGGGGGAGGAGACGTTTAATAATAAGAGGCAGTGACAGCCCTCTCCCTGAGAAGGGGAGATTCTGCTTGGAAAAGGGAAGACAAAACCCGTCATACCATGTGCGCCCACGAGGGCTGCTGGGTTGTTCGGGCGTCCGCGCGGACCTCCGAAAGTTTGTGTTTGTCCAGGTCGCCCCCAGGAGCGCGAATTTGATCGCGCACGGCGCACCGTGGCTTGGGCTGGAGTGGCGCCCTTCTCAAATGCGGCGGCGCGAGGGCGCGAAGATGTCCACGTGTCGCGCATCGCGGGGCGCGATGCGCGATGTCAGCAGACTTCGTTTATGGCGGAGAAGCATGTGCCGACACCGCCGCTCCCCGGACCTCTCTCGGGGTGCTTTCTGACCAGGACCTCGAGGAGAACCCAGCCGTGGCGACGGGGGCTCTCCAGGAAGGGTAGCGCCTGACTTTGTGCCGATGTCTGTTCCTCTGTCTCCACTACGCGGTGCAGCTCTGCAGGCCCCAAGCCGTGGCGCTGCTGCTGGACCGGCGCGCTTGCATGGCTCCGCGCCTCAGGTCAGTGTCGTCGGACCCATCCCCATCCCTACCGTGCCGTGCTCGGTGTTGCTGCTCTCCATTCGAATCTCGTGCTACAGAAGGGAAGGAGAACGGGGCACGAGACAGGGATTGCGAGGAGGAGCAGGATGAGGACCATCAGCAATCAGACCAGGAGGAGAGCGGCAGGATAAGCATCACCAGGAGAAGGATGACGAGCTGCAATGGCAGGAGGACGAGCAGGATGGCGAACCGCATCATGAGGAGGAGGAGGAGGAGGAGGAGGAGGAGGAGGAGGAGGAGGAGGAGGAGGAGGAGGAGGAGGAGGACGACCACCCTGCCACCCCAAGTGGGGATGGGCCCCTCGAAACCCGAAGGGAACAGCCTGCATCTCTGTGGTTTGTTTGGGGTAAATCGGCCAGTGGGGCCCAGGCCGCCTCGGTGGGGAGCGCAGC